CGTCCTTTCCTTGAAAAAAAAAAAAAAAAAAAAAAACAACGAAAAACTACGAAAAATACAGAAAATAAGGAAAATACAAAAAATGTCGCGTACAAAGACCACAAAACTCCAAAACGGAATCCGGTCATAATTATCATCCAAAACTATCAATAGCCGAGAAGATAAAAACAAAGCAAAATAAAATGAAATAAAAATAAAATAAACAAAAAAGTCAATCTTAAATATGGAACAAAACCCATGTGCGTGAGATACGTAACCAGCCATCTCGCAGCTCCGTCATTGATTGTGTCCAACCGCAGGCTATTCCAACCGAACGTCGGTTCAAAACTTGCTCTTTTTTACTAAATATAGGGCCTCGTTAGACCCTCCTTGAAAAATCCTCAGAAATTAGGATGAAGTCCTTGGAAAAATTTTTGGTTTTCGGCGTCGTCGTTACACCACGTCCTAATTCAATGGGTTTCAAGGAAAACCCTTGGAGGTCTCCAGAGGCCAATTTCATACACATGCACGCGGCCGCGGGGGTGGATGTCCGTCATCGTGTTGGGATGTCCGTGCGTCCTCGGGCGTGGTCAAGTGGCAGTGGCGGGAAGGCCTACTAGGATGACGAAGAAAATGGGCGCCAACATCCCCGTTCCAATTTCAAATTTTGAGCCCTCCGTTGTGACACATCCGTGCGTGACGCGTTTTGGCGGCTGGACTGGAGACTGGGGCGAAACGTCTGTGCGGAGGAGTGATGGTGGTCATGGCTTAAAAGGAGGGCATTAGAACGTTGTGGGACGTAGCATGTATGTGATGTCGCCTTCGTGTTCTGCATGCTCTTTGGGCCGTCACAGCTTAGCGCGAACGTAACGCTTCCGTGAAACGTGGAAAGTGTGAGTGCAGTCCCCATTGACGTGCAAAAGGTGCAGCGAGGGCGCCGACAGGCGAACGAGTGGTGGGTGCTTGCGCATTGCGAGTCCTGACGATGGAACGAGAGCTCTCGGGTGGTGCGAAGGCATTAACGACATTGGAGAGAAACACGGTGGTCGCAGCAGTGCCAGTCGTCGCCATGAGTTATCGCGTTGAGAGAACGACAACTCGCCTGAGGATGAGATTGTCCGTTCGCAGGCAGAGGCAGTTGATGCAACAAGTGATGGATGCACCAGATTGTGTGTCGCTATCGAAATCCATTGTGCAATTCTGTTGCGCCATGGCATCGGGTGTGATCCCGCGGGCGACGCCGAGATGGTGGATGAGGAGAAGGATGGGAGGGACATGGGAGGATCTCCGACAGGTTGACGACGTGGCTGGGGGCTACTACAAGGAGAAGCTGCGCAGTGGAGTAGTCAATGGCGCCTGTCGGCTGTCTGCTGGAGGTTTCCCGCCTGTCCATCGTCGTCTTCCTCACCGTTCATCGTTTCTGTCTGCTGCCAGGAGCCCGCACAACGACGCACACGCGGAACAACACAGTAAGGAGCAGGAGAAGAGTGGCCAGCAGCACGAGCAGGAACCGCCGGAGGACGTCTGCCATGAATCCTAGCATGGGAGGCGTGTACCAAACAAAGGTTGCATCAATGCGCCCGACAATAGCCGACAAAACATGCTAGGCAGACGCCTGCAATCGACCAATGGTGCTTCAACATCGCTTGTAGACAAATAAAAAAATTCGACCGTTGGACACCACGGCCGGCGACGCGCGCATGGAAAACCCTGCTTCGTGAAGCGCCTTGCAGGTGAAGAACCACCCCCACGCATTTCCACACCAACGGTAACGGTGGAAGGTCGTTGGGGGCCCATCGGGTACTGGAGGCCAGCGATGTCCGCCCAATGGACCACAGACGACCTGTGCACCAACATCGATTCCAAATTTTCCTGTCGGCGCTCGCTCCAGAACACTCCGTCAATCGCAGCTCCTTGAACCCAAGGGACCTCACGAGGACCCCTTGAATCCAAGGACGTTTTGGCTGGGGATCCTGAGGAATCCAAGGAAATCTCTCGGGAGCGTTTTCACATTCATTCAAGGAATTTGGTGAATTAGGACGTGGTGTAACGACGCCGATTTCCTAAACGGATTTCCAAGGAGGGTCTAACGAGGCCCATAGCCTGAAAACGCGCACCCAGGATCCGTACCATAATGTCCCCCGTAACCTTCGTCAATTTGCCCAAGGCCCCGCAAGAGAGAGAAAGAGAGAGAGAGAGAGAGAGAGAGAGAGAGAGAGAGAGAGAGAGAGAGAGAGAGAGAGAGAGAGAGAGAGAGAGAGAGAGA